CATTCGCGGAGCCCTCGCAAGAATTCCACCCTTGCTGCGAATCTCACGTTGGGGAATAGTTCCCTGTATCGCTGACAACTTCGTGTTAGACTGATAATGATAAAAAGCGGCGTAGGGCCTCAGCGATCGGTTGAGTTGCACTTTCATAACCTTTCCGAGACGCCGACATCATGGGTAGCGAGATTGAGCAATTGAAGGCTATGGTGGGGAAGCTTCAGGCGGAGGTAACGCGTTTGAGCGGTATGTGCTTAGTCAGCTATCGATTAGCTTCCTGCGGCCTGCTAAGGGAACACCAGATCAGGAGGACATTCGCAAGCTTCAGTACACTTACGGGTATTATCTCGACAAGTGTCTGTACAAAGAGGTTAGTAGAGTGAACATGCTACTTGACTGGAAGCTCATCTTAACAGGTCGCCAACCTCTACTCCAATCACCCAGACACATGCGTTGAGTTCCTCGGAGGCCGATACAATGGCAAGGAGGGCGTCAAGAGACTCTACATCGGTCGCTTCGCGAATGCCTTCGTAGCCGGACGCAATGGCCCTGTGCATGGCTTTCTTCTCGATCACCCACAGATGCAGGGCATAGTCGACGTCAACGCCGATGGCACGCGAGCCAAAGGTCGCTTCCGCAGCATGATGTCGGCCGGTACCCACGATAGCATCAAAGATACACACCCTCGCGGCCTAGTACAATGGTGGGAAGGTGGCATATACGAGAACGAATACATCAAAGAGAATGGGGCATGGAAGATCTTCAGGTTGAAGTACTTCCCCTTCTGGCACGCGACCTTCGAAAAGGGGTGGGCGCACACCAAGCCGAACTATGTACCCTTCCTTTCGAAGACGTACCCGGAGGATCCAAATGGGCCAGACGTTCTTTGCGATCGTCCGATGCTCTGGCCTGACACGCGCGTCGTGCCATTCCACTACAATCACCCTGTCACTGGCGAGCAAGTCGCCGACGATGATCTTAGAGCTCCACACTTTGGTCAGGATGCTTCAACAAGCACTCCTCCACTCGTGCTGAGCAAACCAGAATCTGACTCGTAGAGGCATGCTTAGCTTAGAACGTCGAATGACTTTATGACTATACCTGCGTTGCATGTGTCGATATGGCGCATGAAGACGTAGCCCTTCCTTTGCGTAATGCGATTGGAACGATTCAAATATTCGAACAAATGATATCAGGTCTTTCGTGCTCGCATCAACTCGTCAGTGGCGTTTTTGGTGTCGTACAAGCACAACGCGGCCACGGCTTCAGAGCTCTTTGCATCCTACTCTATGCAGTCTGACAGGTTTATTGGAAGCCCAAAGTTACATCGCTAATGATGCGCAGCAAGCCCTAGAGAAAGAGCAAATGCTCGCGACCAAAGTCGCCACGCAAGCCTTCACAGTCACCACCATTTGATTTGCGTTATAGCCAGTCTTCCCGGTAAAGCACCCCTCTCAGCGGCTCGGAGACGGAGCAAGGCGACCTATCATCCCTGCGTCAGCTGCGTGCTATGATCTGTCATAGCTATATTCGGACGAGAAACTCTCAGTTCAGCGCTACGGCTATGTCCGTGTCCAAAAGTGTAGCATTGTCCCATTTTCAGGGTTCAATGCTGTGTCGGACCAATAATGCCGCTTGCAATCCCGCGCGGTCGCATCAATCCGGGCACAACAACCCCTGTAACCATCTCCAACTTCCCCGCAAGTCCACCTCCCCACATGCATACTCGTAACTTTCGAGCACGGCAGTACGTCTGGTAGCAAACTAATGCATCTCCTTGCCAGAACGAAAGATTGTAATATGAGTGACAATTAGTATTAGACCACCTTACTGCCAGGCGGGAGAGCACAGCACGTACGCGATGGCACACATATTCTCTCTCGCAAACCCTGCCCCATCAGCGTATCATGGAGGGAGCCGATCGGATGACCAAGTCAAGTTCCCAGATAGTGGCTTCTTCCAAGGCTTCAACAAACCATCGCGCCTCGAAGCCGACATCTTTGAGCTCGAGACGACTGGCACAGTGAGTATGCCGTCCTGTAGAGACAGACCGCGGAAGCTCAGTCCTTTCAGATACCCAAAGATATAAACGGAACTTTTTTCCGTATACAGCCAGATCATCGCTTCCCACCCTTATACGAGGAGGACATACACTTCAACGGCGATGGTTCGGTTTCAGCATTTCGTTTCGAGAACGGTCACGTCGACTTCAGGCAGCGATATGTACATACCGACCGGTTCAAGGCGGAAACGAAGGCGCGCAAATCTCTACTTGGCCGATACAGAAACCCATATACCGATAATGAGATGGTGAAAGGTATTATAAGAACAGCTTCCAATACTAACATCATCTTTTGGCGCGGGGTGCTGCTAGCCATCAAGGAAGACGGCCCACCTTTCGCTATGAATCCAGTCACACTAGGGACCATTGGCCGATATGACTTCGACGGTCAAGTACAATCTCCAACTTTTACTGCGCACCCCAAGTTTGATCCAGACACAGGAGAAATGGTATGCTATGGCTATGAAGCTGGAGGTAACGGGTACGATGCCAGTTGTGACATCGTAGTATACACGATCGACAAAGATGGGAAGAAAACCGAGGAATGCTGGTACAAAGCACCGTTCTGTGGGATGATACACGACTGTGCTATCACAAAAAACTACTTGATCCTACCACTCACACCAATTAAGGTCAATGCTGAAAGGCTCAAGAAGGGCGGCAATCACTTTGCGTGGGACCCAGACGAAGACCAGTGGTACGGCATCGTGCCTCGTCGCAATGGAAAGCCAGAGGATATTGTCTGGCTACGCGCCGACAACGGTGTGTATGCCACTAGTGATATCGTGACAGGCGCTAACAATTCCAGGCTTTCACGGTCACGTCGCTGGCTCCTACGAAGACTCGTCGGGACACATCGTCGTCGACCTGACCATAGCTTCAGACAATGTCTTCTTTTTCTTTCCACCAGACAGCCAGGCAAACACACCCACGACGTTGCTTCAACGTAACAAGCTCGTCTCTGACACTTACCGCTGGGTCTTCGATCCCAAAACCCCCACGAACACACGGGTACAACCTCATAAGCTCTTTGGTATCAACGGCGAGTTCTCACGAATTGACGATAGAGTTCTAACGAAAAAGTACAACCACTTCTGGCAATGTAACATCGACCAGAGCAAACCGTATGACTTCCCGAAGTGTGGCCCGCCCGCCGGTGGTCTCTTCAACGTACTGGGACACTATGAGTGGGACAGTGGGAAGAAAGATACATTCTGGGCAGGACCGACATGTACTTTCCAAGAACCGGTTTTCGTTCCAAAGGCCTCGTCTTCTCCATCAGACTTCGTGGAAGGCGAGGGATACATCATGGCTTTGCTCAACCATCTCGATGTTTTGCGCAACGACATCCTCATCTTCGATGCGCAGAACCTCTCCCAGGGGCCGCTGGCTGTCATTCATCTACCTGTCAAGTTGCGTCTGGGTCTGCACGGTAATTTCATCGAGCAGAAAGACATTGATGAATGGGCGGAGAAGCGGAAGGAGGGCGGTGAGGTTGGGCCGGCGGTACCGGCGAAGGAGATGTTGCCGTGGCAGAAGAAGATGGCAGAGGAGGAGGGCCTTGGAGTTGCAGTGCCAGTACCAGAGAAAGACTTTTTCAATGGGTCGAACGGTTCGATTGGACTCAACGGTAGTTGATTTGTCGGTGAGATTTAAGTGACAAGGAGAACCTGCTACTGCAACCCGATCTCGATCGTGCTCGTATACCTGTCTCCCCCATTTGAACGGTGCATTACTGGAATCCTGTTAACCTTGATCGTCTGGGTGTATAAGAATAGTGAGCACAAACTGTTTGCTTCAAATTAGTACAGATACTATTCAATACTCACTTCCAAGTCACACAAGCGCTTCTGTACAGTTCCACCCCCACCCTTTTAGCAGCCTTACGGACTGGAAAAGAGGGATTCTAAGCTCCGACTACAATTTATTGAATCCTCAAGAACTTCCTGGGGTCAATTGGGTGCACAGACATCATGCCCCCTTTCCTACCATTCTAATGATGGGCCCGCCTCTAGTACTAAGGTGGCGGTGAAAGCACCCACTCCTTATATAAACCAGCTCATTTCCATGACCACGGGCCCATTATCTCCAGTCCGGCTGGTCAACTGCATACCGACTTACCAGAATCTCTTTTTGAGCACGCCCGTCTACCCACTAAGCAAGATCAAGAACCAACCAGAAATCCCTTTCAGATCGACCTCAGTCATGGCCGATCAATCCTTGCCAGGAGGAATATTGTATACAACTCCAGCTCCGTCCTCCGGCATGGATCACAAGGCCTTACGCAAAGCTCGAAAGTCCGCGGGAAGGGTAGCTAAGGGCGGAGTGTGTGTAGTCAACGAGCAGGAAGCTTGCGCCGGAGAATCCCCATCTATCGATAGGCGGCCGATCGAAGACACGATCCAGTACGAGTGTTGCATATGTGGAGATGACTTCATATTGTCCGAAGGTGTCACTCACTGCACAGAACACTTCATGTGCAACGAGTGCGTCGTTGACGCATACATTGCTGCTCTCGCCGACACTGAAGCCTTTCCAGCCCGGTGCTGTACTCCACTTCCACGTCGTCTTGTAGAACACTTGCTGAGCCCAGAGGTCCTCGAGACCTACTCACTCAAGGCGCAGGAGTACTACACACCACGCGCCATTCGCGTCTATTGTGTCAATGAGCAGTGTCGCTCATTCATCCCAAGATCTCATGTCAACAATAGCTATGCCTTTTCCACGGTGGCCCACTGCGGATGTGGGACTAGCACCTGTGTCGGATGCCAGCATGAGTGGGCAGGCCAAGAGCACCGTTGCGTAGTATCCGACGAGCCAGGTATGAGGCCAAACTGGATGCCCGAGTACTCGAGCACCTGTCGCGTAAAGTCATGTCCAAACTGTCGGGTCTGGATGGAGCACAAAGAAGCCTGTAACCACATGACCTGTCATTACTGTCGTCATGAGTTCTGCTTCGTTTGCCTACTACCTTGGACCAACGAAGGCTTCCATCAGGATGAAGGTTGCCCGTCTTACGGAGATCCAGTCGAGGGGTATGAGCTTGGTGCTCGTGGCCTGCATCGAGACAGTGGCTATAGTCGCGCAGGACTCAATCGACTTGGCCAGCAACAGTTAAGCCACGCCATCACGCAGTACGATGCGGCTTATGATGGCGATGGCTACAACGATCCTGACTTCGATGATCATGGCTACCATGATGAGTTGGATGATGATATAGACTATGGCGACGAACGGGGTTACGAAGATGATGAACTGGAGTACGACGAGGATAATGCAACAGACGAAGATACGTCTGATGATGAGATTGAGACCGACCCAACAGATCCGGCGCAAGTGGTCCATGACCCCGAGGATGAAGCCGAGCAAGATGGTCAAACTCATAACGTTGACGACGATCAATCTGAGCTGAGCTGGATCGACGGGCCTCAGAATGATTTCAGCGAAGACGGCGAAGTAGACGCAGCGCAGAGCGAGGCTGACGTAGTTGCTCCTGCAGACGATGTCGTTCCAGTCGGGATAACAATTGTAACTCTACCAGATCCAGCACCACCACGCCCACGGCCGTCACCGCCATCAGATATGGCTCGACAAGAGATTCGTCTGCGCCGACGCGTCCCAATTCTGGCCCCGAGACCACACGACGCTAGCGTCATCTTCGACGGCGGTACTCCGAGCTTCCTGCAGCTCAACTGTACCCACTTGTGGCGACGCAAGATGCTATATACGACAGAGTATAGCTATTCGCGCTGCAAAGGATGTGCATATCGTGCGAATAGTTGGACAAACTTCTGCTGTCTGCGGGCTGGTCGCTTGTGATTGGTGCTCACAAAGCTTCCGCTACCGATTCTTGGCCGAGTGGGAGTGCGCGGCGAGTATGGTGAATGTCTTCATTTGGGCAGAGAAGGGTGTCGTACCGTTCAAGACTGAGCGTCGTCGAAAGGTGAAGAAGGTGGAGGACGAGATTTGGGCGGATCGCGACGAAGACATGCTGGGTCTCGCGAGACTAATCAAGGTTTTTGAAGCCCAGCTGTCAGAGCTACAGCCTTTTCTATACTATGGTTTTGGAATTAGTTCGTTGTTCGAAGAGCTGGAGCTGGAGATGCGGAAGGAGTACTGGGCTGTTACGGAGGAGGATGTGGGTATGCCTGGGCTCACCATGACGTTCGACCTGGCGAGGAACTTCTCTGCACCATTGCGCTGGGATGAATCGACGTAGCCACGTACAGCGAAGGAGTCCGGCAGTGCAATGATAATCGGATCACTACGGAGATCTGCAATAGCACATAGCAATGATTTCATGGAACCCTGTAGACGCCTAATGGAACGACGACGTTCGCGTAGATGTGACGCGCGGTGATGACGTCATAGCGTGGCATTTTCGCGCGTCAACATCTCGGGGCCGTCTTCCGACCTCCTCCCATCCAAGATCAACACGACAGCAGCTACCAAAAGACAGCTCGAATTCAACGGCCATCACACAATCTTTCTTTTCGCTCCTTGCTTTCATTTGCATTACCTTCTGTCTCATTTCGTAGCGTTCATGTGCATCGTCCAATTATCCAGCTTTATGCCTGCCATGTTCCCTCCTTCTGATAGTTCGGTGAAGTGGACTCTTTCTTCACCGGGTGAGAGTTGTGAGCGTATTGTCACATCTAGTTGAGGGCACCAGTTTCGTGCTCTTGACATACTCTCGCGTAGCTCTCTTCTTCAACACACTGCATGAAGCAGTAGAATCAACGAAAAAAGGGTGGGTAATTATCCTCCGCTTCGTCAGTACGAGCCCCCAACGCAGCTCGCACTTGGGCTCTCGTGAGACCTCTGCTCTTACATTTCCGCCGTTGTATTGGCCCGGGGGTCGGGCAATCTATTTGGGGGTTATGTGCTCGCGAAATCAAGAGTTGGGGGCTTACTATATGTTACCATGCGCATCGGAGCGCGTTGGGATGCGCCGTTCGATCGTCAGCAAGAGCTCCAACACTCTCTCGCCTAGGTCTCGAGACCTTCGTGTGGTACCGTCACTCACGTCCGTCTCGCGGTTATTGAACGTCCTCGCCCAGTTTGGTGCTCAAGGTCCAGCCCAAGGAACGTAGTTCCAAGAACTCTTGCGCGAGATGAGGGCCAAGCGCACGTTTCTTCCGTTCGGTCCGTGGCTACCCATAACACCCACACGAGGAGCCCGCTCTCACAGATGTCGGCAAGAACCCGTCATACAGCGTAGCGGGCCCTTTGTGCACATGGTATGACCATCAGGTCTGGGGGCAGCATGATGGGCCTCGTAGGATGGCTGACTTGCACCGTAAACGGCGGGATCCATCCATGTGAGCGAAGGTTCGGAACAAAAGAGGTACTCAGGGGTACCGAAGAGAAGTGGGAAGGTGGGAGGAGGGGAGGAAAGGAAGGACAGTCAGGAGGGATAGTCTTGTTCTTATTGCAGCCTGTCGGACCCCGGCGGCCGTATTGGCTCGTGCCCCACCACGTCCGTCAGGTATTTTGATCACGTTATTCACTTGCACCGCGAAGGGTGCCTAGACGCACAGACGTACTGAAATTCCTTCCTCTACTTGGCGTGCTCTACGTTCTTTGAACCACTGACACCGAGATCGTACCTTATCCCCCTTACTAAATACCCGCCATGCCTCCCGGCCACCATCAATCGATCAAGTCCAACAAGCGCCGCAGATCTCACTCGCCAAGTACCGACGACAAGAAGAAACAGAAGCAGACGCAGAAGCGGACGGCGGAAACCACATCGACAAGGCGACATGACACTCGCAAGGTTGCAGAAAATCCCCCGGAAAAACACGTCGCCTCCAGGACCAAGTCAAGGGCGGCAAGGCGCGCGGCAGCGAGGGATAGGCACACTCGTAGTACCGCTCGCTCCGGCAAAGCGTTGGCTGCCGCTCCAGTAACTACACTGTATGCGACCGCCATAGATCTTCCCGATGAAGTGATTTTGATGATATTTGACTATGTAAGTACTCCTTGGTATTCGCTCAAACTCCGTCGTAACGTGACTGGCGCTCCAGCAGAGTGTTGAAGCTAACTTGGGTAGTGCGGAAAGAAGAGCCAGTTGCAACTGTCGAGGACCTGCAAGGCAATGCACCGAGTTGGAACGGAGGCACGATTCCGGGATATCGACATTGTGGTCGGCCGGATAACGTCCAAGACGACCCCCGCTCACTTCTCGATCGTCCTCAAAAACTTGCGTTTCACTCGGCATCTTCGTATCAATGCACTGGATAATGATCGTGGAACAAGGCTTTTTAAGCTTCTTCTCAACCGTCTCAAGGAGCTCAGCCCAGTGTCGCTACGCTTCGTGGGTTCTCTCAATTACAAGTCGTACGTCGGACTATACGGCCTTCTCACCAGCAAGGAGCGTGGTAAGAAACTCAGATCTAAACTTCGCAACCTCGATCTTCCAATGCGACCGCTTCGCGAGACTTGCCGACCTGGACATAGCAACTCGGAGCCTTTCAAAGATGGTGGCATCTTCAACCACTCGGCTATTATCCGGTTCCAATCAGACAAGCAACTAGAAAAGCCCCTGGCTAGGGAGATCAGCGTCGTAGGAGATCACGATCCCAGCCAGCAATTGGACTCCGGCACCCCGCATAGTGTGGCGCAAAACGTCATCCAGATGATGGGTATCGAGACTCGAAGTATTGATGAGCTGGTGGTCTTTGGCCGACATACGACTAGGGACTCTCCGACCTTCTATCTTCAGAACCCTTTCGATAACTTTGGTCTTCACTTGCCTTCGAAGCCGTTCGGGCTCAGAGAGCTGAGTCTTGTTGGCCTCGATTTCCGGCAACTACGGCCTGCGATGTTTACTTCATTCAGCATCACGACTCTTCGCACTCTTCGGGTGAAGCAATGCTGCTGGTTGAAGAGTCTTTTCAAGCACCTGATGAGCTCAAAGGACCCTCTTCATCTTCATACGGTCAAGATCAATATATACAGCTATGGAGAGTATCTTCAGCCGGATGAAGCTTTCGGATTCGCCAAGTTCTGCAAGTCATTTTCGACATTGAAGAAGCTTGAGATAGAAGCTGGTGCAGATTGGCAAACTGACTTTGACGCACATATTCTCAGTTCACACAGCGAACTCGAAGAGTGCTTCCTGAGTCTCGGCAAACCATCACTAGACATGGCGACGATCGAAGTTCTCCAGGAGAACCACAAGAGTCTCAAGGTGTTAGGTTTCAGGTGTCAAGAGATAGCGGGATCTTTGGAGCGGGGTCGTTTATCACAAGAAGGTGAAAAAGAGATTTCTCTTTTGGCTGCTGAATTACCGCTGTTCAAGAAGTTGGAGGAGTGGCAGTTGATCTGCGATACCCCTCGCTCCAAGGACGTATTGGGTAGTTTCAAGACCATTGCGACGGAGATACACCAGCGCGTCGCGGCTGCCTTTGGCACACGTCCACTCAACATCAACACCATTTCGATCCTCACTCGAGACATCTTCTACACCCTAGATGAGGTTGACGCTGGGAAGATACCCCACATGCATAGGTTTCATTTCTCAAAGGTGGTAGCAGAGGCTGGGGGTATTCAGTGTTGAAGGAAGGGACGAAGACTGGTTACCGCATGTGGCGAAAGCTCCTGAGTACCGTATTAAGTTGGCGTTTGTGAAGCGGAGATATATGGAGGGCCTCCTGGAAGTGCTGCAGGTAGATGGAACAGCAGGACATACATGGACTTTGAGGATGACAGGTAGGACGTCAGAGATAGCAATCACATATTGCACATACACATCTTAGCGCCTAATTCATGGTTCCACATCAGGTCAGATGGAGCGACCCGAAGCTGTAGGATGTCAAGTCGCACGCGAGTACGAACCTTAATTGACGCTCTGGATGGGTGGACTTTGGGCTCGAATGGGAAGTTCGTGTCGTGGGCGCTTTATCTTTGTGTAGTACGTGTGATCTGAGGCACCACCTAATCCGCCACGTAGTATAGGATGTTGCGAACTCGTTGCCACTTGCGCTGCTCGTCGAGCATGTTGTTGGAATGTATGTGGGGTCTGGTTCTCCGACGTATTCGTAGTCGGCAAGCAAACTAGTCAGATAGGGGCCTGTATTTGCGCACGATACTCCCTGTGACTCTCTTGCCCGGCCCTGTTGTGGGAGACATGGCAAAGAAGAAGAGACTCCATGTCGGTGCTGCGGGAGTGGGAGAGACCTGTTGGACATTCTTGGAGACGAGAGGACTGGAAAGGACCCATATTGTGATGACTGGGTCTCTTCCGGAAACGATCCGTACTCCGATGACAAAACGGCTTTGGCGAATTTTGGGTCTGGAAACGGCGGGGGCATTAGGTCAGTTCGACATAATGGCGTGGACGGTGGGACGACAGAGGAGGCGCCTTGGGAAGACGTCTGGATCTGGATTGGGTCGCTCTTGTGTCCAGTCTCCCTCCTCTTCGCGCTGACGTCTCTTCCGGGGTAGAAGAGTCTACTCTGCCACGTTTGCAGCTGGTGTCTTCCGCCTGCGCGACTTCAGCATCCTCTGATATTCTCTTTTGGCTCATACTGCTGCGCCGATGATGTTGTTCTCGATGAGGGACTGGAGTGGATGCCGAAGTAAAGTCTGTAATGCCGTAGTGCTGGTGGTTGGTGCTGTACTGAGAGAGGCCTGAGGGGTGGTAGTGGGGGTGGGGGTGGGGAAGACGCCAGCGCAGGATTCATGACGTCACCCACGCTCGGTACAGCCGCTAAACCGCAAAGGTCTGTCTCTAACTTGAAGACTCCGACCTACCTACCTACAGCTCTCCGTATTCAAGTACCACATATCCCAATGCTTAGGATAGTTGTACTCGTAGCGCATCTTCAGCTCTCCGGCTACTGCAGTCTTTAGTCCTCGAATTGCTGCAGCGCGCAAAGAGGGCCGGCATCGCACTCGTAGTAGTAGCTAATTTGGCGCAACTTGCGCGCTGCAGCACGCGCATCAGCTTACGATGTATTGCATTACAACTATCAGGTAAACAAGAAAGAGGCTGTTTGTGCTAGCTGTCCTCATCGCGGCATTTCTCGTGGCGTTTGACAGAGAACTAACACTGCAAAGGCATCCACTCGGGTCGCCAACGCACCCCCAGCATACCTACCTCACTGTGAAGCGGACTCTTTCTTGCTGAGCTCTACGGAGCATGCTTCCTCTGGTCTGCTACCGGACAAACGCTCTATCTGGCAGCATGTGGGTGAGATGGTTCCCATGCCCAGTACGGCCCGTCGTCGCGACTTCCTCCAACGCACCGCCCCGCAAATTTGCGCCTGCGCAGCTTCCTCTAACAGAAAGACCTGGCGCACAATCAATTTGAAAATGCGGGGCCACAGCATATCGAGCGTGTTTTCGCTGCGCTTTCGCTGCTCTTCTGCTTTTCCCTTCCGCGTTGTCCTTGTCCAGTCCTGTCATTATCTAGTCCATTCAGCCCAGCATGACTCCTCCCTACCAGATTCGACGAGAGCGCCTTGAGATTGAGGTGATGAACCGGCTGCTACGAGAGCCAAATTGGCAGCCCTTCCTGAGAGAGGAGGTAAATGCCGCCAACAAGTTCAGAGCTACGCGGGCCTACAGGACACACCGAGAAGCATACGACAACAAGAACAGCACACCCGCTGCCTCTACGTCCAAGCCTGGTGAGACTCCGCCAGCTAAGCATCAAGCTGGTGACGGAAAGAAACTCCCCGCTGCACCGAAGACACCGCCTGCTGCCTCTACGCCTAAGCCATGTTACACTCTCCCAGCTGAGCATGGAACCGGCGACGGAAAGGAACCACTAGCATCCAAGACACCGCCCATCTCAACCGCAGCGCCCATCTCAACTGCAGCCAACATCTCGCCTGCAGCGCCTATCTTACCCGCAGCGCCTATATCAACCGCAGCCAACATGTTAACCGCAGCTAATATCTCAACCGCAGCGCCTATGCCAACCGCAGCGACTATCTTAACCGCAGCGCCTATGCCAACCGCAGCCAACATGCCAACCGCAGCGACCACCGCACCTACTGTAACACCTGGCACGCAGATCCAGCATGACTGCTCTCCTCCTCCGAACAACGATGACCACGAAGAATATGGCGTCGCCATCCCGTTCAGTCAGAGTAGCGCGCAGCCCCCAGAGCCAGAGTCTCGGAAACGGGTGAAGCTGACTGTCGACTTGTCGCAGCCACCAAGCCAGTCGGACATTAAGGCAATGCAGATTACCAAGGCAACAGATTTGGATCGCGCATCCGATTACATCCTGAAGCTGACCCTCCGAATGGATACGTGTCCACGGGCGGGGATGCTCCGTGACGTCGTTCACATGGCGGTGCAGCAATATCAAGAGTCCGACGGTGCCATACCGCTGCGTCTTCTTCCGCTCGGACCGTGGCCAATCAGCCTCGCCTCTATGATCGAGGTGTGCCAAGCCAAGATGTGGCTGTCCGGCACGACTATCGACTTCGTTGTCGAGAGATGTGGCAGTTCACGGGGGTACTCACCGGAGGTCGTGTATGTCGCTACAAGCCGTCCAGTGTACATGGCAACCATCGGCAAGTCATGATCCAACCCCGAGATACGCCCCGACATCGCGTCACTTGTTCCGCAATCAGTCTTCATCCTCCCTGAGCTCGACGCCGCAGCGTCCATCGTCTTCACTTGGAATCTGACGAACAGCCATTGGGTAGTGGTGCAGGCCCTATGCATGGAATTTGGGGCGGGGGCTCATGCGCGTGTACGACACAGGACGTAGATACCGATCTACGTCTATGTTCGAGCAGGAGCTCCGGCAATTCCTCGCGCTGGTGGCGCTCTCTCACCCCACGTCCAGATTAGCGAATGTCGATTGAAACACGGTCGCCGTTAGATACGAGGAAACAGTGCAGCAAGAGGCAGCTGACTGCGGGGTCTTCGCAGCGTGGAACGTGAGGACATTACTTCACAGTGACCAGCCCGCGAAGTCGGCCTCCGACGCCTTGAGCCTTGGTATGGCACTCCCACGGGAGCTCTTCACCGAAGCACACAGCACTATCAGCAGCCGTGATCCCCCTTACTGCTCGAGCCAGGCTGCGCTCGATGCGCACATCGAGCATCTATCTGGCGACATGCGCAACCCGACTGGCATTAGCCCGAATAGCAACCACCACAACGATGACAAGAGCAAGGACCCTGACGACAACGACTATGACAGTGACAGCAGCGACGGCTACGCTGAGCGGATATCTCACTCTCCTAAGATTCGACATCATCTTACGCAGCATGACCTCGACGAGCAGGACATCATTGTCCGTAGCGAAGCCGTCGCCATTCTCGAACACAAGACGCAGAACCTTCCGTATCAATCCGTACCAGATTTCAGTGGTCGCAAACACGAAGCTCTCATGTGACGTTTTGCCAGGCGCTACCTTGCTACGATCCGCAATGCAGCCTTCCAAGTAATGCGTTATAAGCTTGGCACTATGCTGCGCAATAGGAAAACGCTGAGCAAGAGGACGATGAAATTCCCCCGTGCGAACGTTCGCCATCCCGGTTCATTTGTTAATGGGAAATTCATCAAGGCCAATACGCGCATTATCCCTACATGCATCGAAGCGTACGCCCTCGAAGGCAGCACTACCATCCGTGCCACCGCGGCTCGTGCTATCTTTGGCACAGATCTCCATGTTTGCGCTTCACCGCCTGACCCGACACGCACGTACAATGTGGTACTTCCGTGCTTCCGTCGCTCGGGCAGGCCATGGGACGGTATCAGCTCCGATACCGAAGTCCTCCACAACGAATCCGAAGACGTCAATGTACGCCTACAAGCGATGTATGATCAATGGGAACAAGTCTTCAACAACTACCCAAGACCCCACGACAAGATTGACACACAAAGAGCGCTAGCAATGCAAAGCTTTAGGCCGGTTTGGATCCCACTGGTATTAGGGTACATCACATCGACATTCCCAGTTCTCAATTCAGCTGGACATTCAGCGCGAGTGGCAAGCGTTTACGACACAATGCGAAGGGTCATTGACCATGTTCAGGCTCTGGCGGGTCGGCGCATCCGTGTCTTATTCCTCTTTCCGGGCGTGGACGGACTGACAACCAACAATGAGTCCTGGCAATACCTAGTCGACCGCTTTCCAGAAGTTTTGTTCTCTTTAACCGCTATCGTGTCCCCGCAACTCGGAGTGCTCTACCCATCGGTATTTACCAAGATCGAGCGATATGCTTGGACGCACATTGACGTCGAGGAACTCTACTCTCCTCACAGCGAGATGCTTCGCGGGTTCGACACTGCTACACTATTCCTTCAGTCTCCAAAGCCCACTCGCTTTGTCTCTTGGCTTACTGCTCTTCACGAATCTTCGTCTAACAGCAGCTGTTTTCGTCTACTTCAACGTCTTCGCTCAGCGAATAGCCTCTCTCAGTGATGTAGATTGTAGTATATATATTCCTTCTTAGTTCCACTACATACCGTTTCTCTACTTCTTAAGACTACCTGATAGAATATGCCGCACGCCTTAGACAAGGAAAAAGCTGAATAGGCCTGGGGGCTACATCAACACAAAAACACTCAAAGTAGGTGATTGACCGTTGATGTAGGCTCTAGGGTATTTAGACTTTTCTTAGGTTGACATGCATATGTGATGAATACACAGGCGCCTTTTTAGCTTATACTAAACAGGTCTGCAGACTACATTAGGACAAAATTATGCAAGGTGAGTGACTTGACATCAATGCAGGCTCCAGGGTGTTCAGGATTTTCATAGCCTGACGTGATTTCGCGGTTTGCCACCGAGGAGAGGGACTATACCTACTCCCAGCACTACCGGTTTCGTTATTTCAGATCTACCGATCAAAATCGGATTTGTTGCAACCTATCTCGCATAAGATAAAACTCGGACAGGCCTGCAGCCTACATTAAGGTAAGAACATCCAAAGCAGGCGACCTGATGGCAACGTGGGCTCCAGAGTGTTCGGGTTTTTCCTGTCTGCCCCCAATTTGGCCCGCCTCGTTCGATGTATTGTACCGATGATATGAAGACGTCCATCAAACACGCACACTGGACTGTCCATGATCTAGGTGGAGATGTAAAGTAAAAATGCAAAGGGACTGTCTCCATTGTATTTTTCCATACCGATACGAAACCAAAATTTGGTTTGTCTCCGCGGATCGCACTTGAGCGGATAGCAAGCAATAGACTGGGCCTCATACTTGCACAGATAGCAAGAGGACGAGGAGAGCCGAGAGCCGTTCGAAAGATAGATACAGCTACAACAAGACCTACTAAGCAGCGCGTAAGTTGAGACATCAATACTCGAGCGCAGAGTGGAGAAGATAGGTGAGAATCGATCTTCCCAATGGTTGTGTATTGCATGATGGGACCAATGACAAAAAGGGTATAGCGTAGTCGATGATAGCCCAGAATGTGGGGGGCAGCGTGTCACATGCCACACCTTTGTCTCTGTTTGAGGCCATGTGAATGCGTAGGAGGTGTCGGCTGAGCCTAGGTGGTCTAGAGGGGTGTCATCCGTACGCTGGTATCGTAGTGAGGCTGGTGGGGGTGCTGTCGGCGTGGTGGCGAAGAGGGACTGGGGGCAACGAAGTACCTGTCGCTGTGGCTAAGGACATGTTGGTGCGAAAGTAGCGAAAGCCTACAGTGCATGGGAAACACCAACTACTCGCGTCGACAGGACTGATGATAACGTAGTGGTTGCGATGGCGGGCTGGGAGTGGGGAAACTTGCATGGCGTGTCGCGGTACGCTGATTGGCTGAGCGGGTGGGCTGGCTCAGTCGTGCCTTCCTTTCCTAAATAGCGCTCCTGCCATGTGACCATCTCTGCTCCTTCCTCGTGATTCAACTCGGAAGTTGGTCGTTCGATCCTGCCTGAAGAAGCCCAAAGTCTGCAATATCAAGAAAGGTAAGAAACCTTTTGTTCTCTTTTCTTTCGCACACTTTGAGAAGTGTGCATCCAGCCTGTCAAGCGTCGCCGGCCGAACAAGTTGCTACGCCTTCGTCCGTCACCTGATTTCGCGCGCATCCACATCCATTTGGAACATCGTCGCAGTACCATCGGTAAGTGACCATGGCTCTTTTCGCGCGACCGCCGGAAAGCCCTGCATAGACATGCCACCCTGTGCTCCTGCACGGGCTGTCGTTTGAGAAGCGCACCTGGCGTCATGGTGGCCTCGAGCGCGCCTGCCCGCTCGCTTTCCGCGGTGTTGTCGGTCGGCATCCCGCACTCGATGGACGCGCATCCACCACGACGCACGACGCCATTGTGCGCTTCCTACCGCTCGCACGATACGACGGCGTTCTTTTGAGTCGTGACAGTTGCGTCTCACAACAACGGCCAAATGGAAGCGCCCAATCCTTCTGCTTGCTGGCGCTGTGTCGCACCACCTTGACCTACTCACCTGCTCGCGCCCGTGCTAATGTTTGTCGAACGCAGGCCTCTATTGCGCTCCCCAAGCGCACGATTGCTACATCAAGTCGTCTTCGGCTTGTGCGTGAACCGGTGGGCACAGTGCCGCTGCTCCCCCGCCCCGGTGCGTTGCGCCTGCGACTCACGCTTCGAGCGCGTCTGTTCTGCCACTTTCACCAGCCTTCCCACACGTCACCCGCCTAACTCACTCACTCACGGCCACCTCCTGGTCGCCCAAAGGAGCACTGTGTCCTAGCCAGACTTCAGCGCCCTCACTCACCATTGGTCCTGTACATCCCAGACCTCGCCGTCTCAGCAACCAGGCGCAGAACCTCGACGTCGATCCTAGCGTCCCACGCGGATTCCAGCTGCTTCTACTCATCCCTTCCAGATACCCCACCAGACACTATGGCTGACACCGCCGGATACCCTACCGACGGCAAGCTGGATGCCCACAACGTCCACACCAACAAACGGAAGCGCGACACGCGCGACCAAGGCCTGAACCGACCTGCTCCCCATTCCGCCAACAACGACCTCACCGACCAAGCCACTGCCTCATTTCTCGCCGCGCACAACGCCGCCGACGACGACATGCAGCAACAGTTCGACGTACACCACAACGGTGGGACCAACACCGCGAGTGTCGGCGACACTGCCGCCGCCGCGCTTGCCTATCACCAGATGACGGTCCCCCAGGCGACAGAACTCCAGTTCCAGCCACAGAACTCAGGCGACGGCTCCTTCAGCATGGGAGACCACGGCCAACAACAAACGGGCATGCAAGACTTTAGTCTCGAGGCTTTGAAGGCAGCTACACAGACGGGTCGTCCCGGTCAAACAGCACCCAGCGACTCGCCACCGCAAAGCTCTGCGCACAAACCTCAAGTCGGCACAGATGAGTGGCACAAGGTCCGGAGGGATAATCACAAAGAAGGTAGACGTCCGTGCGAGTCCTCCTAGATACAGTTACTAACAGCTGCATAGTTGAACGCCGCCGCCGCGAGACCATCAACGAGGGAATCAACGAACTAGCCAAGATCGTTCCCGGCTGCGAGAAGAACAAGGGCTCCATCCTGCAACGGGCTGTCCAGTTCATTACTCAACTGAAGGAGAACGAGCAACAAAACATCGAAAAGTGGACGCTTGAGAAGCTACTCACCGAGCAAGCTATCACCGAGCTCAGCGCTAGTTGCGACAAATTCAAGGCCGAATGCCAACGGGCGTGGGACGAGTGCAATATCTACAAGCGCACATGCGAAGCTAACGGCATCATACCCGACGAGATCAAAGAGCGCCAGGAGAACGGCGAACAGACGGGAGCTAATCCCATGTAGAACTGGGAAGAAGCCTCGTTTTTCGACTATCTTATCGATACGATAGCAACCTTGCCTTGATAGCCATGTTCGGAAGACACATATCTGTACTTCTTTTCTCGGCCTGTCGGTCTACTGTTTATTCCCCGCACTGGCAGTGCGGCAGATTATGTTATGTTCGGCGTACAGTTGTGGAGATGACGCTCGCTCTTTAGGGACGGGTTTTTCTTATTCGTTTGCATCTGGTGGCAGCGATCGCGGTGCGCCTGGGTTGGCCTCTCCCATACAGACAACCGGGGCTTCTCTTACGTCTTCTGAGGGCTAGCGACACATTTTACAGCAAGGAGGCGTTCTGCAATCGTACATGAATTTCGGTACTCAATACCCATCGCTAGTTGTGTTATGAGTAATATGAGATGTGTTGTTGGGATGACTTGCAACATATGGGCATTAGAAACAAGTGAATGTTTAGCAGGATTCGCGCTAATCGGAGCCCTGCTTATCCATCCGTTAGCGGTCGGCGCATCCCACCTGCCGTGCATGCACAGCGCACCTCACCTTCTTGAACCGTGAAGACACTTGCCTCGCCGCTCTACCAAACTGATCCGTCTGAGAACCATGATCTGCACGTGAAAGGAGTCCCAGACATGGTGGGC